CTCATCTTTATCTTGCCATTTGGGTGGTGCCACTGCGGGCACCGTTCTCCTCCGTCTCGACTTTTATGTACTTTTGTTCGCTGCGGGTGTTTGGGCGTCTCAGCTGGCCGGGTTTGGTGCTGTTTTCCACCAACCGTTGTCGCTTGCCCGCTTCGATAACTGGTGCAGCACGGGCTGACGCCACGCCAAACCCAGCCTATCTGATGCGCCCTAGCCTCTGCAGCAAAATGGGTTGTTTGAGGACTGCCTCGACCTTGTCGGTTCTCGGAGAAGAGTTATATAATCATCTCGGAGTGAACTATGTGTTAGCACTTTTCTCTGATTAGGGCGAGGCTGCTATTCTCATCAGCTCAATGCCTCAACATAGCCAGCGAGTGTTCCAAAGACAAACAAGCATATTTGCAGGGTTGTCTTGCTCACACAGTTCGGTGCAAACTTCTTCTCACAACTAGTGGCATCTGTTTCGGATATGTCGAAAGCTCGAGTGGCTGCAGAGAATGTGCTCTCCGTACTGAAAGAAAAAGCCGTTGATTTCGACAACCTCAGTGAGGAAGGACAACGACCTGTTCGTAACTTTTTTTCTGACTTGAATTAGCCTCACTATACATGATCTTACGCTTGTGGTGGACGTACGCGCTATTAAGGCACTGGTGTTCCTCTTAGTGGATTTCGTTAACTGCAGGGTCCGCGCTTTCTGACTCTGCGTTTACAATCCCGTTCCCAGTGAATACAACCCGTTATGGGATTGACCCCACACTGAAGTGTAGTCATGATCCCTGCAAACGATAGGTCGTGTGACGCGACTTGGATGGAGCGCAGCTAGAGCGGCCACTTTCCGCTGGTGCCATAGTGAGCCAGCTACAACTGGCTGAAAATCTGCCAAGCCACGCTCATATCACACGCCCTATCGCTTGCATGGATTATGGCTGTACACTGTTCCTAACTACTACAGGTACCAACGCGAACAACCTCAATCTCTGAAGTCCCTACCTTCAAACTTTCTACAGTGGAAATAGCGCAAGGTTGTCCGTTGTGGTTCCACCCATTCTCCCCTCAGACTACGTTCATACTTTGTAGATGTCCACCAGTGATCATTAGCTTCTACCAGTGTCCACCAGCAGTCTGCCACTCCCCTATCTCCACATACTCTACCAACTGTCTGCTACTTCTATCGCGCCATTCTCTCCACTCCCAGATGCTGGTAGCACTGGTGGACGTTGGCAGACGCTAGACCGATACTTATACTTCCCTAGCCCACTGACTCATTTCATTTACGAACCCTTTGCTATGTATGATACGTTCAGACCTCATGCTATCATACAATACAAATAATCAACATTTCAAAAGTACAGCATTAATTTGACTTTTCGTCTTCAGAAGTTAGAGGGGAGCATCAAATTGAAAGACGTATCGTTCCGTTACCCAACACGGCCTGTCGTTCCTATTCTTGACAAGCTGAACTTAGAGGTAAGTAGAGAGAAATGTTTAACATTGGAGGTCATTCTCATTCCACGGACTGGTCCCCTATTTGCTGCAGATCAACGCCGGTCAGTCTGTTGCGCTCGTTGGCCCATCAGGATCTGGTAAGACTTCTGTGATAGCTCTCATCCAACGGTTATACAACGCCACAGATGGAGAAGTGGTGAGCGCTCCACTGGTCTACTAGGATATTTCCGAATTTGAAATCTTTCATCTTCAGCTTATGGATAAGTACAATGTGAAGTCGATAAATCCCGCATATCTTCGGAGAATGGTCGTTTCCGTTGGCCAAGAACCGACGTTGTTCTCTTTCACAATAAAAGTGAGGGTTTGCGAAATGTTCTTTGATTTTTTTCTACTTTCGTCGAGAGTTTTCCAGGAGAACATCGCTTACGGTATGATGGAAAGTGAAGTGACCATAGAGAAGATCCAAGAAGCGGCGAAGATAGCGAATATCCATGACTTTATCATGTCATTGCCACAGGTGAGGAATTCTGGTTTCGTTCCCTAGACTACAACTACCCACACCGTGCATTAAAGTGCATAATTCTGTGCTCCAGCAGCGGTGCGCTTGCACACGCCGCAATTTCACGACACCTAATCCAGCTGTATGTTACCCTCCTATTTCCCCATGCTCTCTACTCGCGGTCGCCGGCGAACGCTGGTGGATGCTTGCAGACGCTGGCAGGCCTAGATCGATATCTATGCATTCCTAATCTGATGCTGCTGGACCTCGGTTGATAGTGGTCGCTGGTGGACGCTGGCAGACGTAGTGAACGCTGCCGCAAAGTGTGAAGCAGCCTGAATTGTAGATTGGTTGGCCCCCGAAAGTGATTGTATTGGTCACGTCGCATAATAAGCCACTAAGATTCTGAACTGAAGCAGATGCGTGCCCTCATTCAGTAAAGGGATTGATCGACAGCAGAGACTTTATCCTTTTTAAGTTACTGAAGTATCGTCCGTCCATTATCGCCAGAACCCAGTGATAAGGATTTAGTTCATCACTTTCGTAACACCGTGCGCAACTCAGCACTCCTAGCCGCTTGATTCGGAAAACCACTTTGTCGCCAAATAAATCAGGCCACGGAAAATTACGTCTCATTCGGATCAAGCAAAATACGGCTCAAGGGCAACAATATTTAAAAGGGGTGTAGGTTGGGACTCCACGAGAGGTCACGGCTGCCAGGTTTTGATTCGCCACGGGCGGCGATCACTTAATAGCAAAATACATGATTCTAGCTCTTTTCAAGTCTTTTTCGGTATGGGGAATCATTGTGAAGTCTTCCCATCAGTCGATGACTGACCTCTTTTTGCCCAGCGGTAGCAGCATGAGGCTAGGGCAGACTTGTTGATTATCTAGAATCATCGTATGGCTCATATTTTCAGTTCTCTAGTACTTATGACTTACCCTACCCACTTCAAGCAAAGTGCAGGCCCTTACAATACCTTACAACTGAGTCAAAAGAAGTATTCAACCCAGACTGAAGTTTTGGGGATTGTTAATACTTCCCCTTAATAGCATGCCCATGTAAACGAAGCGGTTTTATACTAGTTGAACATCGGACCCTTTCGTTCACAACTTTCACACCCGCAAATAATAAACTAGACCGATGTAAATGTAACGGATGGTTGCAAGTGCCGCGCGGTCCGTCTCTCCTCGCCGCCTGCGGCAGCAGGCTAGCCCTTGGTGGAGTCCTAACCGTTGTCCCGAGAAAAGGCCATGAATAATTAATATGATGTGTAAAAGAACTGTATCGAGTGGCTATTTGAGAAAGAATTTTCTCTCTCTGTGGAAAAGGCAGCAAACATTGATTCCTACTAGAAATTACCGCAGTCAACTAGCCGTGGAGCAATTCGATCCAACAAAAACTAAATGCAATGGCTGACTAATAGCCCATCCCACGCCTTGTTAAAAGCAGTACGCAGCCACGCCCACCGCGTCCCAGGAATGTGGAGAGTAATATGTGGCTCACATCTCGATCCTTTTCTAGAGATTCAACGGAACACAGTCATCTTTGTGATTTCTAGTGTTGTATTGATTGCCATTACCTACTGTGTCCCTAGGGCTACGATACCGAGATCGGTGAATTTGGTGCTCAACTGTCCGGTGGTCAGAAGCAGCGCATTGCAATCGCTAGAGCTATTGTACGACGACCTGTCATACTTCTCATGGACGAAGCGACTGCTGCTTTAGATAGTACAAGTGAAAAGGTGCGATTATTGAGGTTTATCCTCGGAACAGTAAAATTACCTTGAAAGTGATTGTGTGAGTTATTAGCTAGCGTACATTTCAGGCCGTTCAGTTAGCCCTCGAAAAGGCTGGCAAGACTTGTACTTGTTTGCAAAGTAAGTTTCGATACAGTGTTCTTATAGTTGGCTGACAGTACTGTCTGCTTGGATTTCTCTTTGCAGAAAGCGATAGTCTTGGTCGCTGCGGGCGGGCGTGTCACGGAAAATGGGTGTAGCCCACTGCCGGCCCTTTTTTCTCTCGGCAACCTTCAAGACTATCATATCATTCGTATCAGTCACTTTCCACCAGCTGTTGTCGCTTACCCGCTTCAGCAGCTGGAGGAATACAGGCTGGCGTCGTGACAAATCCACCCGCCTCACAGACACGCCCCTCCATCCGCAGCGAACGAGACTGTGGATTTTCTCCAATTTCTCTATCATAGCCTACTGAAAAAGACTTATTTAGTTGCACATCGACTCTCTTCAATACGAGGTGTAGACAAAATCTGTGTGCTCGTCGATGGTTCCATTGCTGAAGAGGGCACTCATGATGCGTTAATCGCCAAACGAGGGTTGTACTACAATATGACGCAGTCGGCATAATCTCCCATAGATCTTGTGCTCCTGCTCCACCGTATTCGCTTTACTGTTAAAAGTCTGCAGATTTCATTGTGGTCACGTCACAAGACCATTCGCACTGAACTATCTAATCAAGCGTTTCTCATCTCTTGGTTATTGCTTGTGAGACGCACTGTAAGCCATTCTTAACCTCCCTAGTCAGGAGCATCTCCAGCGATAGGTCTGAAGATTGTTAAACGCCAATGCTGTCACCTCGTTTTGGAATGGAAAGGGTGCTCATGAACCTCCTTGCTGTGAAAGGGTCCATCCCATATCCTAGAATCGAGGGGGCGTGTCTGCGTATTCTCGTGTCATCTCTCTCCTACTAGACATACGTCTCCGCTTCTCTCTCGTATAGACCCTCGCCGTTCCGACAACCACGCCTGTTATCGCTCCCCGATAAGGACTGTAGAATTAGTCCCCAAAGCTGTTCCCGTAGTACATATCTGAGAACAAGTACTGAGGTTTTGAAGTACTTGGCGTATAGCATGGCACCTTCTACACAAGCTTAGACAAAGAGAGGCAGACGCGTATATGTACACTTCGTATCCCAGAGATGGAAAGTCCGTGGCTCCGTACTTTATTCCACTTTATTTCACCGTGGCGGCAGCTGCCCTCTGAAGGGACATTGAAGTTTCGTAACAGTTCAACCATGTCTCCGTCCAGTACAAGATAGGACAACACTTGTACCAAATGGAGATATCCTGCGAACAACGCATCCTACGCCATGTTCAAGTCAAGGTACGGCTACGCGGCAACGCCCACTCCATCGTTGGGATGTGCAGTGCATGTACTTATGAAAGAGGGATCTTGACGCGTTGCTTTCATACTTTGCAGCGGGTCCACCAGCGTTTCGAGCGACCACGAGCATTCCGAGCCTCCGGTAGCGTCGGCTACTAGGAAAGTGTAGATATCGGTCTAGCGTCTATCAACGTCCACCAAAGTCCACCAGCGACCATCGGCGTCCATCAGCAATTAGCAGCGTCCGGAAGTGGAGAGTATGGAGCGATAGGACGGTAGCAGACAGCTGGTACCCTCCTGTCGTCCCATACTCTCTAGCAGTAGTCTGCTCCCCTCCTATCTCCCATACTCTACCAGCTGTATCCTACCCTCCTATCGCCCTATACTCTCTACCAGCAATTTGTGCTGGGCGCTGCTGGACGCTGGTAGACGCTGGCAAACGCTGACAGACGCTGGTTGACACTGGCGAACTAGATTGTATCTATGCTTCTTAATCGCTGACGCCGCCGGACGTCGGAACGCTAGTGGTCGCTGTCACGCTGCTGGTCGCTGGTGGACGCTGTCGCAAAGTATGAACGCAACCTATGCTCGCTATCCTTCCACTCAATTTAACACATAAAGTGGAGGCAATCGCGAGCATTTCATTAGCATAGTCCAAATCGCTTTCAGAGAGGTGAGAAATATTTACTAACATTATACGTGGACGCTCAACTCCGTTCTCTTCATTGCTTGAAATTTTTCGTTCCTCATTTGATACAATTTCCAGGATTGTTTCTTACGGTTCAGATAAATTATACGTGCAAACATTCCAGTTGTAGCAAGTTTCTTTGCTCTGTGTGTTTCATGAGATTGATATAAATAAAAATACTGCATTCAACACTGTACTCGTGCAAGTACTAATCATGTCAGGGAATAGAGAGAGAGATGGATTTATTTGGCTGGAAGAAGAAATGATGTATTGGGTTGAACCATAAGTAATGACGTTTTTTTTACTTACCCAAATTTTTATAGGGAACGTGGGATCGTTTCCATATTGTGCTATGCCAATCGATAAAGGGTTTTCCGTTCCACACGATAGTGTAAGCATCTTCCCACTGTTTCTGGATGTCTGTCAATTTTTACTTCATTGAGATGGCTCGGGTTGGCTCAAATAAGATTTTTTGTCAACAACTTTTCGCACGTTACTCGCCTCTCAGATCACAGAAGAAGCTCAAAACTTATGATATACAGTAGGGAGCAAAGTTTTCGCGGCCCAGAGAGAGGACGTGGATACGAGTACCAGGGCGGAAGATACCCAGGATCCTCGATAAGCAGGAGCTGGCCCTCGCCCATCACTTCCATGTACACCAAAATATGAAGTCATCTGCAATCGCAGCCTGACTGAAGAAGATCTTTGAAATTCATGTCACCTCCAAACAGCTGCGAAACTTCTAGTGTGGAGTCACCCATGGATAGTTACCTGGAGTACTCTCAATCTGGAAGACCAGCAACATCGAGCAGCTCCGACAACGTCGCTACGGTCTAGGACATCATCTTTACCACAGTCGCCAAGGCGCCGGTTGATGGTATGGACCGGACGTACCTGGAATGGAAAGACCGATATTTTCTTGGTGGAAGCCGGACTGGAGGTGACGCTAGCGGTTACATCGAGCAACTCGAGTAGAATACCCTCCCAACATGTCGTGGTCCGTACCTTCTTGGAAACTTTGTACTGCTACGGGATTGGGTGAGACCACATGGAATCGGAGGACGTTGGAAAAACTCTCGCCTACTTGGAATGGAAGGGCGTTGAGTACCTGAAGAAGATGGAATATCTAAGCAGTCACCTGAACTGAATCCTCTTAATTAACTGGTTCGGGCGGAGTTCAATAGGTTGGTCTACAGTGGCGGAGAAATCAACGATCTCGCTGATCTCAGGTACCGACTCACGGTCGCGTGGCATAATCTGTCGATGACGCTCGCCTAGAAAGCTGTGGCGGAGTGGTAGAAATGTCCGATCAGAATATAATAATATGTAATTTATAACGCATCGAAAGTCGAGGAAGAAAAGTGTCTTTTTTTCCCCTGTATATGATCATGGAAAGATAGTTTTTATGACAGCTTGAAGTTTGTTCGAGCGTTTATGAGATGGGGATTCGCATCCCGTAAATGTGCATTGCATGGGGACCTTCTTGGGAAACGGCTGCCTCCACAACCTACCCACTAACTTTCGAATGTCTCACATCAACTGAGGGTGATGCTTGATAATGATAAGGAAGGATTCCATGACTTCTTACAATTCCTCATTCTTTGGCGTGAATCTCCATTGATAAGGTGACTCATTGAGTTCTCATTTGGACTCAATAGGGCACTAGGTTCGATGCTTGTCTGTGAGGTCGAAATTGAAATCCTCGAGTCGTTTAAACTGTCGTGAACACTTCTGATAGACATCGCTCCTTGGCAACATGTAAAACAAATGGGCCTGGTTTCTTAATTGTGTGTGAAAATGAAAGGCTGTCGAAAATGCTCAGTTACGTTGAGCTGACACTCCAATTTGGGTACTTAACAATTACAAAATATTCGAAATATCTACTATCGTACAGGTCAAAATTCTCTGCAGGATAGTATTAGATTGATGCATATGTTTTTAACCCCGACTTTTTTGTAAATATCTCAATAGCGAACCAGCCTAAAGATCAGAGGTGTGCACCATCATCATCCCCAACTCGACGCCAACGCTCAGGCAGCTTGTCGATTCCATCCTCCCAGAAGGGCGGGGGCTGGGACCTGAAGAAGGCCACAGCCGCCGATCATCACTGTGACATGATTTCACATCAAAACAGGGAGAAACATATGCATCAACCTAATATAAAACCCAGTGGCAAAACTTTTCATTTTTAGCGCGACATTTAATGAGAAGAAAACGCCATAACTAACGGGCCAACCCGAAAGTATTTCGTAATGCAACTGCAACGAAACGCCTCATTAGGAAAAAAAACAAGCAGGGCAGGAAGAAACTGGCCCAGAGAAAACAACCAAAGTTTTGTTTGTTTTTCCAATTTCACAGCACAGTTCTCGTCCGGAAAATGGTGAACCTAATACACCTGGCAGATACTAGATGTCTCTCCTCGTTCGACGGCAATATTCTGACGAAATTTGGTAGGACAAGGTAGGCTGTGAAAGGGGTACGTGCCGAAGGAGAAATTCGGGGAGGGGGAGGAGCGGTGTAGAAATTTCATACAACGCAAGAATGTGTCTTACTTGAAGGTGTATTACGTTTCGTGAGTTGGCGATTGCAGGTCCCCTCAAGTCGGCTAGGCTAGGGTTGCTCATTTTCACAGATTTCACTACCGGGGAAGAGAAACTAGTGTGCCAGCAAAATGCCTTCTTCGAGACGAACTGCACCGAGAAGATTTCTGGTCAAGTCAAGGAGCTGCTCGGCGCATCCTTTTTGAACCACTCTCGCTTTGTGTACTGGTTCAGAACTTTTTCTGAAGGCGCCGTTAGCCCTACTAGTATGAGAACCAACTCAAGCCCTTGAGAAAAAAACAACTCGGAATGCTCAAGTTCAGTACGGCTACTCACGCCAGCGCGCCCAGGCCTGCAAGCAGCCAGCGCTATAGGAAACTGATGGCTGGAAACGAAGTGGTGCGGAACACATTGCTGCAGGATAAGAAGCTTCTCCGAAGCAATAGCCGAGGAACCTTTCAACCCTCCCAATTCCGTCAACTCCTGAGTAAAGATTCCCCTGGCAGATTTTTTTCGGAATATTTTTGAATTTCTCAACGTTGACGCTGGCTTCGACAGGAACAATAATAACAAGGTTCCCCTTTGTGGTAACTCCATCACTAATCATAATGGACTGGAACATTTTAGATTTCCCAGTTTCTTCAATGGTCCTCCCATTTTGGGACTTTATGAGTCGGCTCGAATTGGACCTCTTTTATGATTAATAACGACTTTTAGAGCCCGTGCCCTTTGTGAGCGATTCGCTAAACATGTGAGCAAAACTATGCAAATATAACAGGTGATTTCTGATTGCTACATGTTGCTTTTTGAAGAGCGATGTCAAAAAGCAACGAAATTTCGGTTTCATAAGTAACGTAGTCCGCCATGTGGTTACTCAAGGTCAACTCACAGTTGCTGGGTTAAGTGTATGCGCGTGTGATAACATCGATCGCTGTTATTTACCTATTCACTTCTCTTGTTGTAATCTTGTATTTTTTTTTTATTTCACTTCTTTGGGCATTGTTAGTGATGAACAT